AAAAACCACAAGGTGACAGGCGGACTTGTACAGTCTCATTACTCTACGAGTTTAAGACATTCTCCCTGTTCCCCTTTTTTTGGACTCTTTCAGCCACACTGGTGTGTTAACTTGTTAGTTGGGGCTGTCCGTCTGTGATGGAGCCTTATTTGTTTCCTGAATGTCTAATCTGCCAAGTTCATGCCTTTGGCTGCCCACTGAGAAGGGGCTCCTTGTTCTTGCGTCTGCCCGGCAATTCCATTGAGTGCTGCTGTGCCCGGCCTCTTGTGCACATTAACATACAGCTGTCCCACAGGATGAAGCGAGACAGACACCCATGAGCTTCAGAGGAGCGCTTGGACACTCCCTCTCTTCTCTCGCAGATCCGACTCACAGGCAGCAGCCTCAGCAGATGGGCTGTGGAGATTAAACCACTCGGCACATGGCTGCTATTGTCAACTGCTTTTTGTTAAATTTAAAGGTCATCTATGGGGTCAAAGCTGAATTGATGTGATGAGTACCACCTTCCATATATTAAGTGAGTGGGTGAAGGTTTCTGCTAATGATGGCCTTTCTGCTTGTCAGGGAATATTGACCAATAGGCCACACTGAGAAGGAAGGCGGGAGTCAGAGGGCAGGTTACGAGTTTAAGCACTAAACGTTCTTGTGTTGAGTCCATTATGTACAGGGTTGTGGTTTGTCAGGCTTTATCTTATATTATTACCTTTAATGGTGAAGATCAACCTCCTCTTTCAACACAATAAGATCACTTAACTCCTGTTTAAGTGATTGTGATGATCACTTAAACGGCTTTCGGTCTTTTCTTTGGGACGTTTTGAAGCATTAAGAAAAAATGCAAGCCCCTCAAATGTCCTGTGGAAGAAAATATACAACAACCAACGTGGTGTGTCTTGTGGATGATTTGTGTACCCTTGTAACTTGACCTTGTACTGTTTCACTGCATTCAGTGCTGCTTAATAAAAATCTGGCGTTCAGGTAAACAAGTTCCTGTGACCTTGGATTAGCTGACTGAGTGGTTATAAAAGTATAGTTGTGAGTCACAACCACCCCTGACAGAACTTAAATAATCGAAGAGAAGTTACAATAAAGCCTGACTAGTGTTTGCTGCAGTTTAAACAGAACATGAAGTCTTGGTTTTGAAACTGAATTTGACTTAAATGTAATAAGTTGTGGCAGAAGGAAAACGGAGTGACGAAAATCAATTACACATTTTTTGTAGCCACTCCATTGTATTACAACTGAAGGTGCAAACTCCCCAAAGATAAACCAGTTTATTGATTTTAAGCTCAGTCTAATACAAACCTAAGCTACTGTGAATAAGTCAAATACGTTTTGTCAGTACACATTGGACTGCCTGTTCTTATATGGCTTGATGGCGATAAAGATCTGGTTTATAACTTTGATAGCAGTGTTTGGTTGGGTGGACTCTACTCTCACTACAGTATTTGCTCTCACGTTATGTTTCACTCCTGAAATATAGACTGGCGTTCCGTAAAGTAGACTGAATGGTTTCACAGCAGAAACATTAAAACCCTCTTTGCTTTGTGTGCAGGCGAACGACGGTCTATTTTTGGTCAGGGTCTGTCATCCTCTCCATTTACCACTCTTATACTAGCTGGCGAAAGACAGTGATGGGCCAGTATTACATGTAAACCTGCACTGTATAAAAAATAATAATAATAAAGTGACAGCCAGTGCCGACCATTCTCTCATGGCCAACAGCTGAAGGTCATGTGGTGGACAGATATTGTCATGATAGAACATTTTACGTGACATGACTTATAGCTGACCCTGGTTTTTATCTATTGGCACAGATAAATTAAAGGCACATTCATATTGGAAACTCAACACGGTTTGGACATCAAGGGTGCAAGGGTGTGAGTGCAGTCAAAGAATGAATTTGAAATTTGAAATGAATTTAATCTAAGATCAGAGACACATATCATCCAAGAGTCGTAGGTGACAGGTGTCACTGGTACACACTGCACATGGCAGGGTTTTAACCTTCGTGCCACATTTTTGAGAACTTTTACCAACCTAAATGTAGAGCATCCTATAGTTAAAATCACATTTGTGAAGACAGGTTTCAGAGGCATCTACTCTAGAGAAGCTTTCACCAATGTTATCATTATATCTCTCTATAAGTGTTGGGCTATGTGGGGTTTAATTTCATCAGGTTGCTCAACCCTAAAAAATGAATAATATTGAAATCAGAACACAAAACTTTTTTAACCAAACTTGAAATAATTCTTGTTTAATTTTTTTTTAAACTGAAAAGCAAGCTCTTAATTTGAAACTTTAATTCAGTCCTTAGATGAGTATTGATGAGATGAGTTAGATGAAAAGAAAAGCAGGTTGTTGCTGTAGAAACGTGTAAAGAAATAACTTTACGCCACTATTTGAATTTAGGTACAGTTGCTCTTACAGATTTTTTTTTAATCAATGTTGCAATGCAGCACACATGAGCAATAATCAACAAAACCCACAAACTCCATACGTCAGGAGCCTTTTTCAATGACCCGATGTGCTCTTCCTCCCCTTTCTGTTGACTGCAGGATAGGAAGTAGTAGGAGTGGTGTTGTCTGTCCTCGGTGTGTAGGAGGTCTCTGTGAGCATGTGTCAGGAGCTGTATGAGTTGGAGGCAGGAAGGAGAGGAAACAGCAGCCATTCTGGGTTATATTCCATGATAAATAAGCACTGTGTAACATTTGGGATGCTCTCTCTAACTCTGCACAGTATTTTTCTTTTACTTTTATTTCTAACAAGTTAGTTAGTATCAAAACTGGTCAAATAATCATAGTTATCTCCACCCTAAAGGGAATGTGTTTTTGTCATTCAGACGTAACACATGCACAGCCATTCAACATTTACTCTTGGCAGCAGCGGGGTTCGTCCTCTGTCCTCCATCTGTCTTCATGTTGCCCAGCATGTGACCAAGCTCCTCAGAGGCTCCTTGGTGCCCTACTCTTACCGCCAAACACATTTTCCACCTCGGGGTTCTATGGACATATGGCCACCACATATATCTATATATATTTATATAAGGATCATTACATTAGAAGGATCATTCCAGTTTTTGCCTAAAACCAGTAATTCTTTAGTATAGATATGCTGCTTTTTAAAGTGTGAGGCATGTCTCCACTAGAGGGTGCCAAAGTATTCCAGGGGAGTTACAAAAACGTGACAACATGTAAACTAGCTAACTTGCATGATAAGGATGGATTGATATTTTCCAGCTATAGTGAAAAATGAAAGTGAATTAAAGTTGTATAGATACATTTTGGATTTGGAGTAGGCTATTATTTTGTAATTGTTTGTCATCCAAGTATAAAGGGGATTTTTGATCCTTTTTTGCAACTTGAAGACTCGGATTATAATTACAATGTTAGACTTTGAAAACCCTGGTGTAGATTGATTCTTCATGTTGTTGCTTTGGTACATCCGACTTGTACTTGATCACTTGACATTTAACCTTCTTCAATTTCAAGGTTTTTTTTTTTTTAAATTCAATTATTTGACAAGGAATACACACTCTACTGCACTGAGTAGACTCTACAGTACAACCAGGTATTTTTGTGTTGCGTGTGTGTGTGTGTGGGATGAAACAACATGCTTCCAAGCCATCCAAGGTTCACTGCTCCTCTGCCCTTCCTGAAATGAAACATTTATAACCCTTGACATTTGTCATTTCCTGTAGCTGTTTAAATCGTCGGAGACTCATCTCTCCCAGCATCGCTATAATCCATCTAACGATTCCCACTACACAAGTATACAAGGTCAGGTCTCCCAAATAATAAAATCCATTCTTTTCCTCCCCAATGCTTAAAAAGATCCCTCCCTTTATTAACTGGCTCTTTTTTTTAGCCAAAAAGGCCACTTGATCCTTGGCTCGACCAGGAAGGCACATTATTCTCTGTTAATATGATCCCACACAAGAATACACTACAAGTCATTACCTTACTTAGGACTCTTTCTTTCGTGGTCGTTCTTTTCTAACAAAAATATTCCCTTCCTTCAGGGCATTTGGTTAAATAATGATGCTTTTCTTTAATGCTTAATACTTTAGTGTCTGTTATTTTTTCAGTTACAGATGTGTGCAGTATTAGTATTATCTTATTAGTTATCAGAATGCCTTCAAATATTTATCCAGATTTAACAAATTATTATTGAACTAATGCCTACATTTAAAGGCATTTGATTACATGTTCTTAATGAAATGATAAACATGTAGGTTTTGTTATACTCAACACCTAAAACATGACTAAAATGATTTAACTATTTGTTTTTGGTCCATAATCCAGAGCCATTTAAGTATGAAGTAATGTAGTTAACCACAGTTCTCCTTCGTGATCCCCCTTCTGCTAATCAACAACTCCATATTCAAATACTCATCTCTGCAGGTATTTTCTCTAGTATATTAACATGTACAACAACAATTTCATTTACAAAATAACCAATTTTATGAAGTCCAGTGTCACTGTATCATCATATCATGTTGTAATTACTTAACTTCACTAAACCCATGTCCATTCTACAAACTGAAGTACTCTTACAATGCTTCACTCTCTCTCTCTAACTCCCCACCACCACCACCCTCAACAAATGTCCAAACCATAGATTTATAATCTTCCTACTTTCTGATCTCTCCAAAAATAAAGCCATTATGTGATTCTGTCTCTCGGTGTCATCAGACACACTTGATATCAGTCAAGTTAAGCTCTACAAAGGGTTGCCATCATTCACCCTGCTGGTGGTCCTCCACAGATAATACTCCCAATCAGACACTTAAGAAGAGAGCCCTGCCTTTCAAAGCTTGGCCCATAGACACATCTAAACAAGATCAAATGTGCCCTTCACTTTCTGGAAATTGGATTGTGTATCAACATGGAAGTCACGTTTTCTCAATTGCTGTTTTTTTTTTTTCTTGCCACCACAGTGGTGTGTTTTTCTCTTTGGTAGGCTTTTTAAATATAGGGTTGATCAAATAACAGCTTTGATTTCTGTAGCTTTAGCTCAATAAATGATGTTGCTACTGGTTCATGTTACTAAGCTAACGCTAATCAGTGATCTTTTTTTTGATCAGCTTTTAGCAAATGAGAACATAAATTGAGTGATTATAATGTGAATATCACCTGTGATTGGAATTATATATTTTAGTCTGTGACAGTAACCACAGGTTGACTGGAACGAGTTTTCAAAACAAATATGGAAATGTTGGGTTTTGCTACACACGTAGTCAACGATGGTTTGTGAATTTAAGGGATACAAAAAACTTAATTGATGATTACACTTATTTAAAACTCTAGGTGTCTCCAAAGTCAACTGAAATCATAGTGATTATAAATACTCCAATTATTTCTCCTTAGGCTTTAACAAAACCCAGTTCTCACATGGATACTCACAGAAATACCAAAGGTGGTGCACAAGCTTCTGTAGTAAATACAGGTCGAGGCACATGACCAGATCCACAGACTGTCATGATGTCCCCTCTTGTGTTTTCCAGAACCTTCCCAAGCATATTCAGGGATTCAAAGATGGCAGGAAAAACACTCAGCAGAAACAAATTAGCTCCCACTGCTTCATCTGGGATGCAGAGTGGTAATTCTGCATGATTAAAGAGGTTTATTCATTTCTGTGTGAATGTTCGTGGTAATCTTGGCCAAGTTTTGTCTGGCTCATCTCACACAAACACACACACGCGCAAGCGCGTACGTATTTTCTCATAACTCTGTTTCTGCTTTTGAATGGTATGATCCCTCAGGCAGCATCCAAATGTAAAAGCAGATAGATCTGTCATGTGGAAAATACATGTTTTTAGAAAAAAAGCCTCCTCTCCCTTTAGTAAACAAACGGATTATAGTCAAGCTGTGTATTATGAACTGAAGTAGATGAGTGGCCAAACTCAGTCATACAAAAGCATTAAGAATAAACACGTGAAAGAATTGTTACCTCTGTATTTGTTCAAGATCTCAGAAATATGTGCAATAGACTGTTCTTTTTTTCACCATTGAGTTTTTATCACAGGTTCAGATTATAATCATCTTCATCCACGTCCAATTTGTAGATTAAGCAAAGAGACCATTTTTATCCAGAGCAAGACATGTTAAGTTATCTCTTGACATTTTTTCCCTGTTTTATACTCCTTGGAAACGCCGTGTTTGCCTGAGAATTCCGTTGATAAAATATTGCCAGTAATCGCCAACGTTGACCTTTTTTCATCCATTTATTTTCCTTGAACCCTATTAGTGTCAGCAACACCCTTGCTCTCTACTTTAATTTTTTTTTTTTTTTTTGGCAGGACCTCTTCAAATTCAAATGTCTCAGTCGCGTGGGTGGCTCGCGGATATGTAAATCCAACTCCGTGCAGATGTTTTGGCCATTCTCCTCTGCATAATGCCATGATCCATTCTTTCCTTATTTATCAAATCCCTCCCCCCTCACCCCCGATTTGTTGCATCAATTCTCCCTGGAATGGTGTTCACGCTTCACCATGTCTCAGATATCTATTAAAAAGGAGACCCCCAAGTCCTTCTCCCCTGGGGTTGGACAATTGCACAATGACATAGTCCCATTTAGCGATGCATGACTGCCCAGGAAATATTTGCCTCCTTCAAGTTCAGCCCGACACAATAAACGTTTGCTCAAGAAAGCTCTCTTACACCCCCGCCCTGTTTAGTGTAGACTCCTCTCCCCCGACATCTGCTGATTCGGGAGTCTTGAGACCTCCATATAATATAAAATCCCTTTGTATTAAGTCATTTTAGAATAAAGGGGTATTAATGAATATAACCACTTTTGGAAGATTATGCCAAAGTAAAACACAAAATTTTGCTTCATAGAAGTGATGGTTTTTTTTGTTGCATAACACGTCTCTTTCCCACCATTTATTGACCTTGCTCGGTTATTTGCACTTTTAGACTTTGTACTTACTTCATTGTTACAAAATAGTTTTAACTTCTGTTTTTCTTTTTGTGTTCTTCATCATTGTAAAAAAATCATCTCTTTCTTTTGAATGTCTCTCTTTCTTGCCTGTTGGTTCTACAGGCGAATGAGACCCAATTTGCATTTTGCTACAAGTATTATGGCCGTGGCTACATTACGCCATTGATTTAAGTTGTGCATTCTTGCATCTGCCCAGCAGAATTTTAAGTTTTGATAAGCTGGTGGTCTGTATCCAAGGATGCCGGGGTGGTGGTGGTGGTAATAATGCTTTACTAACCGGCAGAGCAGAGCAACAAAGGAGGTTGTAGCCTATTCAAAAGGCCACGGTGCAAACCCTTCTCACATGCCAAGCATTCCAATGATCTATGCAAAGGTTGGGCCGTCAGAGATCCTTTCTCATGAGGGCCACCTTAAATACACACACACACACACACACACACACACACACACACTGACTAACAACCTGAAATGGGCTGTTCATCCACTGGCTTTAGTGCTGCTCTCTGGGCATTTATCTTGTAAGAGAGTGTGACTAAATCGTAGGGATTAACCACCTGTTCTGTCCTCATACATGGCCATTTATTTTTTCCCACCATATTTTTTTGGACATAATGCTCCATCTACTGCATGCATTTCAGTTAACCTTTGTTCTGTAAACACTTCGCTTCTTGTTCAGAACTTGATACCATATAGTACCATATTGGAAACCATTGCTATTTTTCTGTAGCTGGTTAAAACTTTAATGCACAAAGTCCACACTGTTAAAAAAACTTTTTTTTGTTGCATTGATGTATAGCCTCAAACATTTCCTCTGCTTATCATCCAAGTTCATCCCATGTCCCACCACAATCTCCAGACCTACTAACATGTATTTTCCGGGGTCTGGGGAAACCTGTTATTGTTGAATTAAAAGGTTCAGTGTTTTGTCGTAACAACAGTTGTGGAGCCATCCTCGACTGTGTCTGTGGTGCTGTCACCGGGGCAGTTGCAGTCAGTTATTGCCTCCCACAGTGAACTGCAAACATTGGCCTGATCCTTGTGTTTGCAAATGAGCAGGTGCAGTAGATGTGGGTTTATTCATGGTGTTTGCTGTTTAATAAGGAGTATTATGGTGTGTTGGTGACTATGCAGTACTTAAGTACACTGTGTGTGTATAGTGAATGCAGTAGTGTACGATAGTGAATTCTACAGTGCAACTCGCTTGTTTTCACCCGTTATTGACAAGATCGCTCTTCACAAATAGGAGTCAAATGCAGACTGGGTCGGACTTATTCAATTTCCTGATAGTGACACGATTCTCAAATCTCCACATGCATTTGCTACGACTCAGGTTTGGACAGAAGTCGACCCTAAAACCAATAACATTGAAATCTGATTAAAAAAAAAATCAGTACTCATTTCAGTAGCTGGAATGACAAACCAAACTGAGATGGTGCTGCTGCTACAATGTTGTGTAAATGAAATACGGCCTGCTGTTTAGTACTAGTACATAATGCGCAATGAACTTTAACAACTTGCTTTATTTTTCAAAATTGCTTTGCAATTTGTCCATTTTAGGATTTTGTTTCAAAGGAATGATAAGTGGAATTCTCTTTCTGGGTCAAGATTAGCATGTTTGAGGGCGCTAAAATGTTTTTTTGTTAAACTATAGCCGTCGGATGTAAAGTGGTGTTTTTACCAGGTGGGAATTTAAGTTGCTGTCAATGTGAGCAGCTGTTATAAAGGTGGGACTAGGGGAAAAAGGGTAAATGCTACAATTGGCTGTGGTAAAAACATCTGCATGAACAGACCCACGAGGGTTGGTAGGATGGTAGATAAAATATGCTTGTCACTCACACATTTTTGTTACAATTTTTATTAGTTGTTGAAAAAAATACATTTATACATACTATACTTAGTGAATACCTTTTTTCCTCTTATTAAATGTACAGTACACAGAGAATCTTTGACAAGTACACTCGCTATATATCTTTTAAAAGTGATGAGCTTGGTCATTTTGGTATCTCATAGGAATTACATGGTGCTGTTGTCATCAGGGAGCCTCTGGGCCTCTGAGCCTTTTTTTTTTTGCCTATAATGGATGGTGGGTGGAAATTATTTCCTCCCTGCTATGTGCCAGTGAAACAACTAGAGGGATAATCTTCTTTTAACGCTCAAAGAAATACTGCGAAAGCAAGATGAGCATGTTTGTCTACACAGTCAGCTATGAATAATAAATCTCATCAAGTGTTGTATCGTGGAATTCACTTTAAACCTAATGTTTTAGGAGGTTTCCTGAGTTTAACACCTAGCTATAATTTTAATGGTTTGTCATGCTGTTAATGGAGGTGTAGGGCGGCAAACACAGTGGAGCTCTGCACTATTTTTAGCTGGCGAGCTATGTCATCACTACTAGCTGCTGGTGATTGCCTGCTGGCTCACACCTGTCTGTCTTACAATGCGTTTTCTAATATATGTCTTATTAAACATACAGTAGTTTCCTAAATTAGCAGAAGAACCAATCAGGATGGGCATGCTTATCTGATGGAAACCGGGAAATACAATTGCATTTATAGCACCACCTGCAGGGGAGAAGGGGGATCCACATGTCCATAATCTGAATATTCGGAAAATACAGGACTTTTTTTTAAAAAGAAAATAACAATAGTTATCCAACGTCGTTGAGTACACCACTAAAATAAAAATAAAAAAATGTGCAAGTGTAGGTGAGATGTGGACTACATATTACATGTAGAGGTGGAGTGCTCCACAGTGCAGATGGTGTTTCAGGTTTTCTTTTAAATTCTTTTATTTTTTTTTAATCGGATGGACAAGGGCGTTCCCTCCTCCACGGTCTGTGCGCTGCCTCGGCTGCTGCACACACTCTGTCCTCCGCTGACAGAGACTGCGCTGCGCACCGTGTTGATGGTCGGACTGCACCATTCTCCGGCTCTCCACCAGGGAGGCTGTAACTGGATCCTGTGTGGAGGAGCCGTGGTGCAGCCTGTGAAGAGGAAGAGGGCACTGCTCTGCGCTCTGACGCTCTCTCCCCCTGCACTACTCCTCCCCCTTTCTCCTAAGTGTCACCCTCTCTCTCTCGCTCTCTCTCTCTGTCTCTCCCTTCCTTCGTCTGCTTCACTCCCTGCTCGGTGAAGCTGTTGGGCGGCTCACAGACCTTCCCGGATCGTCGCATCGCATTGTTCACCCACCTTTATTTAAGTCTGCGTGTCGCGGCGGAGCTTTCCTCGTAACCTCTACCCTACCACCTATTTATCCCCACATCTCCTTGGCGTCATGTCTTTGCCGGGTGATCCTAGTCAACGCACACCGGTGCGGTGAGCATGTTCTCAGCAGATCTACCTGCGAGTCCACTGCCTCCACTCGGCCACAGTTCCACACGTCCGCACTTCATTCGCTGTCACTGAAGAGGAAAGGAGAGGGGGGAACACACAGGATTACAGGATGGGGTTCTACGGCACTTTGAAGATGATTTTCTACAAAGTGAGTAGTTCTATTTCTGCCTGCATGAAGCGCTGCTGTCACATCCTGGTTTCATGTGTGAGTGTGTGTGTGTCGCCCTCCCTATCGTTGACGCGCCTTCTCTCGGCAGATCGTGTTCGTCCACTGCGGAGATGAACAGCAGCGTAGCAAAAAAAAAAAAAAAACCCCGAGAGACGCTGCTTTAATCGCCCGGCCCTCTGTGTTATGTTTGCGCTGCAGGATGTTTTTTTTTTTTTTTTTTTTTCATCCCCCTCTTGTAGTAACTTCAGTCACGTACAGCAGCTCCACTGCTGTGATTCAGGCTAGAATCGCTGCATTTCTAAATGGGTTAGGACTGTGTCTTAAATTCTACGGTGGCTGGGTGGAAACACGTCCGTAATTTTGCGTTAGTACACGGCTGAATCCGCCTCAGTGGACGACATCTGATCATGATCCAATTTTGCCTCGGATGCTCTCCCTGCACCTGAGCATCAGTCGTGGTCCTGCCTTTAATTTAACCTACAAACACCAGCCTCCAGCCTGAACCACATAGACATGTCAAAAATAGCCCTTATCTATGTTTCAGTCCGTTCCTAAATGTATGCAAGACATAAAAACGCATCAGTGCTCGGCAGTAAAAACAGCCGGTCCTCCCCCTGCAGTCCTCTCCCGATTGCAGGCTTGTTATGGTTGTACATTATGCAGCAGTGCTTATCTTGCACTGACCAAAGTGACTGCATGACATGCATGCGTGTGATCAGTGTACGCCGGCGCCTGTTGCAGTAGCCCATTTTTCTGACCATCTTGCCCACCCGCCTTTGGCTCCAAGTACAGATAATAGGTCACTGTGTCAGACCGAATGAGGTAAAATATCCTTAAGGATGCTGGGGCTTCCATGCAGAACGGCAGCCGTGCAATGATACTGCCATGTTTGGAAATGCGGAGCACAAACGTGCAGCATTGGTGGAGAAAATCATTATGCAGGGTGGGTGAGCGAAACGAATTTCTTAATTGTTTACAATCCTAGTCGGAAAACCCCCTTTCCTGTGGTTTTTTTTATATATATATTTGTAGATATGTGCACCCCAGTCACGAATCCTTATTCTGTTAATTATACTCATTAGTCGAAATTGTCATTCCGAATAAAATTTAAAGGTTACTTTTCTCTGTTTATTTTCCATCAAACTCCTGACCCTCCTGATACCGTTTCAGTCAAAGGTCTTTGCATTTGTTCGTGCAGTGATTTCAGTCTTGAATTACATGAATCTTGTAAATCGGTCAGCTTTTCCCGAATGTCGGTGGATGTGATGCAGGTGTCTCAGCATCTCCGACACTGACAGTTGAAAGTGAAGAAACTCGTTTGTGTCTGCTTCAAACAGTGTTTGAAAAATGAGGGGAATGTCTTCCCAGTGACTGATGCCGCGGGGTTTAGCCTTCATTGAAATGAACCAACATATTATGAAAGAGTGATTGCTGTCTTTAAAACATCATTAAGTCCCTGTGTATCCATCTGCCCTGCTCTTGACTAGATCAGGGAAGGGACAGAAGAAGTACTGAGCACTGATTAGTGACTACCAAACACTGCGCTCCCTGGTTACCTTTCCCAGGCTGGAACACAAGAACAAGCTGCTTATATGCAGCACTGTTTTTTTTCTTCCCATGCCGGCATTTAGTCTGAGGTTTTATTCTTCTTACGTGTACACACACACACACATATACACACACACATAAAGCCATTGAGCACTCCCCTTTTCTCCTTTAGTATCACTCTAAAACACACACACACACCACACAAAACATATCCACACACACACCTTATGCATGCATACACACACACCCGGGCGCTCCTTGGCTACTGAACTGCCATTGCAGTGAGATCACTGCTTTAAGAACAAGGCAGTTGGGTTCAAGTACCGGATCTTAACAGGCAGGAATATCTTGTAACCACCCCCTTCTACCACCCCCCCACACCCTCCCGCTCCCCCTTTGTGTTAATTCACAATGAAACTGTTGCCGGATATGTCCAATCTAGACACCTGGCACAAAGGCTGCAGACTGACATAGCTGTTGAATAGATTTATTCATGTGGTTTCTGCCCAGTACCCTTTTCTATATATCATTCCTGCCAGCTGTCCGTGGCTCCTCCTTCAAATGTTTCTGCTTTGCGTTTTTTTTTTTCATCTTCATCTTCTTCTTTGAGCTGACATGTGAAGAAATGTTCACACGTTATTAGTCAGTCCAGTCTCGTGTCCAGAGGGCACTTAACCTGCTGTACATGTTGGTGTTTGCTAGTCTTGTGCACGTACCTCTGCAACTCGGCCTGGCCCTGTGTCAGTGCCTCTGGCGCACTCACTCTAATCTGGGATCTCCTGTCCAGATCTAATTTATGGGTAGTGTTAATGATACTCTGCTCACCGATGAGAATGTTGGACATTCTCCTATAATTTTGCTCCAGTCCATGGAATGGCGTTTCCAAAAGTGAGGGGACTCGTCAATGGGACTGAAATCACACAGAGAACAAACAAACACACACACACACAGTTACAAAATTATAGTGAAGAAAGATCACGTCTTGAAGAGGGAGGTTTTTTAACCACCATATTTTCAGAATTTGAAAAGTATGAAGTTAAACACCAGCCTACACTCCAGACTGTACTGTTTTTCGCAGCCACTCCTCGCTGACAGAAGTGCACCATATGAGCACTGTTAGCCTTAAGACAAAAGTATCTCATTTGAATGCAGTGTAGTGTTTCTGCCATAGCTGGAGGACCAGTAGAAATATTCTTTTTCATGCAGCACAGGTTGCATCTGGCAGCACAAAAAGGCTGTAGTGAAACCGTCCACACACTGCTGCCAAACGACTTTTCATCCTCAGTTAAACTGCTAAAGCATAAATAACACCGGCAAAACAATTACGAAATATAGACAAAAGAGCTCTTTACTCTGAAGGAATCAATCTCCCACGTGCACAGTGACGCGTTTGGCCTGTCAGAAGGTACGCTGAGGAGTGCAGTTGATTATTTATACTACATTGTGGCTTCGCACTTAATCCCCCCAAAAAACCCTGTTTTTGTCACTTTGTCGAATCAGCAGCTTTCACTTGAGGCTGAAGCTGTGGAGCCGTGATTAAATCCGGGTAAGCCGTTGACTTGAACATGACATACATTAAATTAATGGAAGTAAAATTCCCGACTGGCATATTGTATATATGAGTTCGGCTGACTTGAACATTTCAAATCAGTATTTGTTTCTACAGTTGCTCTGTTTATTCATGAGGGACCAGCAATAAGATGGTGATCACTTGCATGTGTGGTGAGGAGCGTTGCCAGAGAGAGTGGCATGCATGGGATGTTAAAAAAAAATTGGCTTGCCCAGGCCTTTACACAGACTTCTTTGTTTGTGCAGTAGAGTAGGTGGTAAAAGAAGGACTGGGTAGTGTGTGTGTGTGTGTGTGTGTGTTCATGCAGGTGATAGAGAATGATAGAGTAATGACTCGCTCTGTTGTTTTTTCCACTGCTATTAGTACTGTATGTCTTAAGGTCATGTGACAAAGAATGCACCTTGTGCTCTCCCAGAATGGGATTGTATGTACTGGAACGCACCGTTCCTGTTGGGTTCTGGGTGTGAACACGTGAACACGAGATATTATGACATGTCTGTTTGCCCAAGGGTCGCTGTTCCCTTTTCCATCTGCCTCCAACGCTCAGCAGCGTTGAACCTGCACCTTCATGTAATCCTCCCGTCTTTCTCCGTGAAAGATTTTAATCTTCTCAAACCTGTTTTGTCAAAGTACGTGTCAGTAGGTTGGAACTCAGGCGTGTGCATTAAAGATTCATTTTTAATTTGCATAAAGGCTGTAGTGAGTCCACGCTGTTTCTGTTTTATGTGCTGAATGTCAGATAATGAAAGTCTGTAACTTGAAATTTTCTCTTGAAATTCCATGACCTGGGGTTTCCTTCTTTTGCTCTCACACCTAAACAATATGTAACATTACATTTGTGTCCTGTATCGCTGAAGAACAGATACCAGAATAATTCAACACAATCTCCTTCTCTGTCTTTTAATTAATTCTTATGTTTTCCTTTTTTTTGTATTTTTCTAGATGAAAAGAAAGTTGGACCATGGCCCTGAGGTCCGATCTTTCCCTTCAGGGAAAAAGCCCTGCAAAGGCCCGGATTATCCAAGGTAAAAAAGAAAAGAAAAAACAAACAAAAAAAATTTTTAATTGATGACCTTGACAACTGACAAACTTAATGAAAAAGGAAGATACTGTGTGTTTTATGCAGTACTGTTCCCCGTTGTACTGTGTCTCCAACCTCCAGTCCCGCGGTCCCCTGTGTTTCTTCATCCCTGAATATTTAATGCACATATTCACATGTAGCCACATTAAAATTCATACTCAACACAGCCACTTAACAGTAAATGCCATGTAACTGGTTCCATCTCAGCTTCCTCTCCCATTAAAAATGAATCAGTAATGAAATAGACCCCTAGTTCCCATTTTGCTCTCAGCAAGCACAACTTGAAGGATGGAGGCAGACCACTGGCCGCTGTCTCCCGCTGCCTGTACATCACAGTGATGGGTTTTAAAGGTTCTGTGCTGCTCCCCTCACATGAGTTATGACTGTAGAAGAATCTGCACCTGAACAGAAATGTGTGGTTTTTAAACACTTTTGACAGAGTCAGAAAAATTCACTAAGTGGGAGATTTATAATGTGCACTAGACTGAGACGGAATCACTTGGGTTATAATGAAAAAAATATATTAAAAGAGGCGTAAATTCAACCTTTATAGCCTTTACTTGTGATGGTGTTGAATTGTAATGATTTTTTATTATTTAATTTGTGCAGGGGAGGAGAACAACACCTGTCTGAGGGATATGCTTTTTTATTGTTTTGATGCCTAACACTTAAAAAAAAAAGAAAATCAGACATTTACGACTCTTTTTCTCTCACTAGTCACGTATATGTGTAAGTGAGTTATTACATTTTTAACAATCTAATATATGGAAGCCAATTACATCATCATCTGTTGGGCCTTCAGACAAATTGAAAATGATTATTTTTTTCCTCGATATAACAATAACAGAACGGTTTATTTTGTTTATAGAACTGGTTTTTATATTCAGGGAATCAGCCACAGTCAGTCTTTATAGGTTACTGCTTGATATGATAGTATCGTTATTATTACAACATAATTATTGTGTTGTTATATTTTTTTGTTTATTTATTTATTTATTTCAAATTTCAGCCCAACAGGGATTGTCCCATGTCCAGCCACACCCACCACATTCGGCCACATCAGAACAGCCAATGGTCAGGGGCAACAAAGAAGGCGCATCACCTCAATCCAGCCACCTACGGGTCTCCAGGAATGGCTCCGAACATTTCAGGTGAGCTCGTGGGAAGTCTCATTCTTCCTCCACATTCATCCGTTGAACAACGGACGACCTTTGAGCAAAAGCTGGTCTAAAAGCAGATGATGTGTCCAATCTGTGGACCCAGCACATTACCATAGGCACTGTAGCGTGGAATTGAAATTAGCCGTACCCGTTCAGACTAAAAACAGTGATAGGATCACATGGGTCTACTGTAGACGTACAGTATTGTATCAGAAGCTGAGCAGATGTTTTACCACGGGGGATTTTAGGCTGTTGTTGCTCTGTCGTTTGTCATTACTGAGCCGTCCTAAGACATGACTGCAGATTCTTGTTCTGCCATAATTATTCTGATGAGGGAAAAAAAGGATAAAAACTTCCTTTGGTTAAAGTCATTTTCAACAATGTCAGTGAATAAAACTTCAACATTTACTCTGCACCGTGAAACTTAAGAAATAGTTTATTAGGAATTGAACTTGATTTTAAAGTAAAGACTCTGAGGCATTTGCATAGCAAATACTACAAAAGGCCTTCTGTAGTATTGAAGCATAAAACATTTTTTCCCCTCAAAGGCCCAATAGTAGGCAAGTAACTGAAGGAGAGGCTGACCAAGAAACCACATAGAATCTTTGGATTCTATGGGAAAATCTTCTCGTTTTTAATCATGTTTGGGAATTTGGGTGGAGATTAAAGCATGTGAAGCGGAACTATTCCAGAAAAAAGTCTTCACCACATCAACAATGTGTTGTATATCTGTCTGTTGTAATTCTGCTTGGCTTTGTTCATGGTGAATTTAACCTTACTTTTCCTATTATTAGGTGGAGATCATTTCCTGCACAGATGCAGCATAATAGACAATTTCCTTTTTATGAGACTTCATGTCTGAAGCCTTTAGACCTCACAGACGGTGAATGTCACTGAAACATATTAGCCCTGATGGGTGCTCTCTGATTTCCTGTATAATAGTTCCATTGTTTTGGAAACATGACTTATTCATTGGCACAATATCAACATCGGACATCACGTATTGATTTTCAATTTATTTGTACTATTCCAAATGGTTAGAATCTTATTTCACTGTGGAGCTGTGCACCGAATATTGATCGTCTTGGCTCCCGCACCTCCCTCCTCTCCTCTCCTCTCCTCTCTGACAGACCGGTATGTCAGTGTTAGTCTGGCCATCGGGATAACTGGAAGACATCCCACTGCATCAGTGGGCTAGTGGGCTGTTAGGTAAGGCTTGTGTATTAATAAAAAAAAAAAAGAAAAGAGGAAGAAGACTCAAGGCCTTTCCTACCATTCATGCTGTGGCTGTTAAAACCACAATTTACATTCTGTACATTCCCCAGTCGGGTCTGAACCTGTAGCTCTGAACAGAGACAGATGCATGAAAACAACACAGTGCACGTACACAGCAGACATGCAAAAACAAGGATGTGGATAAAGACATTAAATCATTATTTATTCTTTTGGCAGAGAGTCTTACTCAGATTATTAAGATAGACTTGTGAAACTGTTTAACAGAGCAGTGGGGTTACTTCACCTGTGAGCAGCGACAAACATCTGCCTCGAGAGTCTACACAGACCCAGAAACCTTTGAGTTGAAAGTAAAGATTTTCAGGAAAGAAGGCGATCAGGGATGACTATAAACACTCAATGTTTTAATGGGTTTACCTTTAACATCTGTTTATCCAAACAAGACAGAGCTTCCCTGTACTATCGCTGGCGATAAAGACAATTCACAGACCCTGTGTATTTCTGACTCAGTCTTGAGTTAACTTCTGGGTCTTTCTGGGAGCTGGAGCTCTAATAATGTGTCCATTCTGCAGAACCTCATTATCAATAAAATAACTTGATCAAGATTCTACAGCTTGTCCATGAATGAGCCAGCTAGAGTCTTCTGTTTGAATGGAAGTATTACCGGAATTAAGACTCAAGCTTAATGATATGGAATTATGAAAAACTCAAGCAGTAAATATGTGAAAATGCAAATGCATTGTCTGGAGAAAAGCACATGTAATCTTTGGGTGCTCCTGTTATGACTTCCTCTGTTCTGATGGGTTGTCTTCCAGCTCCCTGATCACCTCTACATCCAGCACGTCTGATTGAATCTTTTAGCTGCTAAATTACAGGTAGTTTGCCTGTGCCCAGTTTCCCATCTTGCCTGGTGGCCTGTAATCAACTGGAGGAGTTCAGAGCTCCGCACAGTTAAACAACTGTGTTGCGTTACATCCTACATAATACACAGTTCCACTCTGCAGCTAGCAGTGGCTACGCTGAACGTTAAAGCCGAAGAACCAAAACCCTGCAGTGCTTCAATTGATTGTTTGGATCTGATGTACAAATATTGGTTAATGTCTTGGCTGCCCGTGTGGGGCAGGTGCTTGGAGCAGCTCTGTCCTGCTATAGAGGAAACAGAGGGGACATTAAAATGTCCGGGACATGTTGTGCTAAGCTGGATCTTTCCACTATGTTTCCATCAGGCATTGTGCATACAGAGCCAAAAGGTCTAAATGAATTGGCCGTTTTCAGCTCTTCTATGTGATTGGGTTTGAAACCCAGATGAGAGTGTGCAGTAACTGTTGATGAAATTCTTTGTGTTTGTTTTAACTGCTTATAACTGCCCCACTGATGAGAATGGTGCAGGAGAAGTGACTTTGATATTTCAAATGCCATCTTCAGATTTGTTGATGACTAAACATTCAAATAAGTAGAAAAAGAAATCTTGTGCAACGCAAACTTAAATACATTTTTTTAAAGAGAATATTAAGGTTTGAAATCCTCTGTGTTTGCAGAGCTGGACTGGCCCAGAGAAGCTGCTGGCGCTGGATGAGTTGATTGACAGCTGTGAGCCCACACAAGTAAAGCATATGATGCAGGTGATAGAGCCACAATTTCAGCGAGACTTTATCTCCCTGCTGCCCAAAGAGGTGAGTTCCTGATTTCTTCCTCTGTTATCAGTTTGCAACTTCCTCTGCCACCCCCATGCTGCTCTCTCTGTCTTTTCCTTCTGATCTGAGCTCACAAGGGAATCCCTCCGTCAGTTGTAAACATTATTTCTGAACGGGAGACGCAGCCTTTGTCTTCTGAAACTAACCCTCATGTCGTCTTTCCCAACATCTTCCAACTGCTTCCGGGCGGCGCTTTTTCTCTGCAACACAACTGACATTACAAACGATGTATTGTGGCAGCAGTGATAAGAGCACATGAGGGAGTCTTATGAAACACCCTCAATAAACATTATGCTGTGCTTTGGATAAAACGCTTGTAAAACCCATTGTTTATGAACCATTAAAATCTCTTTTGGTTTCAGGTCGGACCGAAACCACTGTTGTTCAATATAGAATTCTAGTGTAGTAGTGGATTAAACAACACAGGTTTGCAGATTTAAGTATGTTATGTCCATCACCTCCAACACCTATGGCAGCCATTGGGATAACAGAGGCCACGATAACGTAGAGATCGTGGCGGTGATTAAATTTCTCTGCGTCAGCTACGCTTCGTTCTCTTTGGCGTCTGTTCTCTGTGGAAATGTCGGTGTGTGTGTGTGTGGCTCTGTAAAGTAATTTTAACAGGTGAATCCCTGTGGTAACACAATATCTTTATCTGGGATTTAAAGTCAGAAGAAGAGGATGTAGAGAAGATTGAGTGTCAGGCTGCAGAGGAAGACACTGAAGTAGATGTAAAAGTAACGGTTCGATGGAAAAATAATTGTAATTAATTATGTTGATACTTATATTTGGCTTAATCCTGATAGTGACCATTATGAGTAAGAACAAGATTTAAACAAAAGGTGACACCTTTCCCTTTGGAAACACAGATGTTAGTGTATTTTATTTAATCTGCTGCTCAGGGTCAGATTAAAGCTCATTGTAGCATCTTCTGTGCCTATTCACTGGCTTGTGTTAAACCATCCATACCTTTGGGATTTGTTGCTCATAAAGCCCCTGCTGTAGGTTTTCACCGGCTGTCAGACAAATGTAGATTATCTTACTGTCGTAATAAGATTCTGCCAGTTTCAGTGACGTTAATATTTTGTTCACAATTTGTTCTGGCAGCGTTTTTCTTTTCCATTTTCCATGTGGATTACTGGCTTGTTCTGTGATGTTTGCACTGATGTAAGCACCTGCGTTGGTAAATGATGTGTTCTTTGTGTCTTTCGTTTCTGTTTACACCTCTCACCTTCTCCGCCCATGTATTTCAACAGCTGGCTTTGTATGTCCTGTCATTCCTGGAACCGAAGGACCTCCTCCAGGCAGCCCAGACATGTCGATACTGGCGCATCCTGGCAGAAGACAACCTGCTGTGGAGGGAGAAATGCAAGGAAGAGGGTGAGTTTAAACTTTAAGCAAAGACAGAGTCACTCAACAGGAACTGTCTGAGGCTGCAGTCACAGTGTTGTGGCTGTGCTCGATTAGAGTGTGCCTTAACTTGGAAACAAAAATAAACTTGAGCTTGTTTGTTCACTCATTCAGCTTCCGTGTCTCTGCTAACAGGCATTGATGAGCCGCTGCCCCTCAAGAAGAGGAAAATAGTCAAGCCTGGCTTCACGCACAGCCCCTGGAAGAGTGCCTACATCAGGCAACACAGAATAGACACTAACTGGAGGAGAGGGGACCTCAAATCACCCAAGGTAGCGTTTCCTTCAGATCAGTGTTTTCAACCTTGGGGTCGCGCAACACCTGGGGTCGCCTGGGATGTCTAGTAATTGATTATTCTTTTTAAAATTCTTAAACAACTGTATTTTTCCACTGTCATGACTATAGTTCGAGTTCAAATAAAATGGCAAATAAAAATATATAGATTTCCTGGAGTTTAACCTCAATCCTGAGGACACAATGACTGGTAATACCTGGGTTGTTGTCAGGGATGTTAAGGATAAACTGTGTCAAATTTTAATGAAGCAGAAAACAAGATGTTTTTATTTAAATAATTTCTATGTTTTCATACATTCATCACTTTGTCCTTGAACCATGTCCCTGTCTTACACAGGTCATTTTAGGTTGACCATGATATGAATTCAGTGACTCTGCAGTATTTGTTCTAATACACAGGAGCATGCTCTGGCTTCTGCTGAGCCAGGCAGTCTTGTGACCCACACATACACACAAACACACACACACCTGCTGCAATCTGCGGCCTGTTAATTGTTATGTCCTGTTTCTTTGTGGTGTGTAAAGCAGCACAGGTGTGTGATTTTTGAGCTCAGCTCTTGTCATCATCTTCATTCGTTTCATTTGACTAATTTTTCCCCTCACAGGTGCTGAAAGGTCACGACGACCATGTAATCACCTGCCTTCAGTTCTGTGGCAACCGTATCGTCAGCGGCTCTGACGACAACACGCTGAAAGTCTGGTCAGCCATCACAGGAAAGGTAAGAATTGACTCTTTCTCTGCTCATCCACTTCTGCCTTCTTGGGGGTTTTTCATGTCGGGTATCTGCAGGGGATAAGAATTGTTTTTTGTAATGCTGTGTGCTCCCAAGTTATTTTCTTTAACAAACACCCAATTGTCACAGAGTGGTGTTTTACACTGGTTCTCACATTGTTATAAGTCTTTTTTTTTTTCATCGGTGCTGTTTAAAATTCTGCTCTGTGCACAGTGATAGCACAGAACTCTTTCCAGCTCAGTTATTTTTACATTTTAATCTGAAATAAATGAGATAAGTTTGGGTCTGTGAACTTGCTACTTCATTAAAAGAAAACCCTTTAAAGAAATTGATATTCTGCATGATCACACTGCAGCAGGTTATTCTTTATGCTACACGCAATAAAGCAGAGAGCTTGCTTTGCATTCGGGTCGTAGTCCTCGTTCTAACAGATAGTAAACTTGGCATTCAGCCCACCTGTGATCACATGCATACCAGTCACAGTATGTGCTGATCTGGAGAGATTTCACCAAGGTCATCTGATAGGTGTTGAGCTCAAATTGGTTTTTCTTCACTCAAAGACGAATCTCGATGACAGTTAGTTGATTTATAACTGCAAAGGCTCAATGTTGGTGGTAGAAGCAACGGTGACTCATTAGCCCAGCAGGCTTTGTGGCTTTTTATAAAACTGCCATGCATTCAGATGTGATGGATTTTCAATGCAAACACAGCATCGAACTGATAGTTTACATTAGTCACAAGGATTCAAATAGTCCCAGTTCATCCGTGTTTGGTGCCTGTGTTCAGGACACATCCCCTCTGTTTATTTCATCTCGTTGCTTATTCAGCTCTCGGCACCAGAGGGAGTTTCTGATTTCAATATCAACCGATACCGATATTTGCCCCAAAACCGAGGTAAACGTCTCAGGACCCTGCAAGCGATTCCGGCATATTTGGCGATTGGGATTATCATTATAACAGATAACGATTCTTGAAGATATTACATAATTATGTTAATAACGGGACGATATTATCGGACATTCCTATTAAAATCCTTAAGCATTGCTGCTGCTGTATATTATAATCGGCCAAGATTTTAGAAACTACACTGCCCTGCCAACAAGTCAATTATTCAGTTAAACTGCCTTTAGCTTTGTTGACATCACAAAGTTGCTGTGGCACCATCCTGACAAGCTTTTTCAGTGTCACAATTAGATCATGTTTTGTTATGTCTTGTTTTGGTAATAGGGAATTAGGACTGCTTCTTCACCACATCACAGGCGTTGGGAAGTCTAGACTCTGTGGTGGCCAATCCATGTCTGAAAAAAATGCTCTTTGAACCATGTGGTTCTCAATATAAACCAGATCAGTCCAGTCATTGAATCATAATCCAAATCAACTGAACTAACAACAAATCATAACAACCCCCCCAGGTTTGTATGGATGCTGCTAAACAGTATTACCCCCATCATTGTGAAATGAATGTGGATTTATGAAATCACGTGACCTTTTTTCCATTACAACACTGTCAACTGCACATTAGTCTGAGGACTTTCAAATACGAGTGAATTGATGTCCATAACCAGACAAATGTCTTCTGATGTTGTTTTAGTTATGACAAAGAACTCATTCATCCCTGTGGTTTTTACCCTTTGAGATCCTTTCATCTGTTGTTTTCCTTTTGTGTCTCCAACCCCTCAAATTAAACCCTGTGGAGCGTCTTCTCCAGTCCAGCTGACTAACATCTGAACCATAAAGCTTTACTCATAGCCAGATCAATAGAGGTAGTGACACAGAGATGAACAGAGGTGGAAAAACTCTGATTTCTGTCTCACAGCACTTTCCTTTTGAACTCCATTAGAGTGTAGCTGTTGCCTTTCTTTTCTCTGTTCTGTTACTAGAATTTTTTTTTCTTAAAGTCAATAAGTTTTGGTGGATTACTATAGATAAGAAGGGTAAATTGCCTCCTGATCTGAGATTGGTGCTCACCTTTGTGCTTCCCTTCTGATGGATAGATGGATTCTTTGGTTTCTCTCTTTGGTTTAATTTAAAATTCAGTTAGCCTGGGTCGCACTCTGTGGGTGTAAGATTTATCTTGATTGGATGGAAGAAGAAATTGGTCACACAGTAGACGAATCGTGCCCTAGGTAGAGCCGGTTTAACTCAGACACTTGTATGCCTCAGAAACCTGCTTTTTCAATTTGGAGCCAACACAAAGAATCCCCTGTGAACCTCGCAGTGGGGGGGCGGTTCAGGTACGATTGCATCAGTTTGCAGCCTCACAGTGTCCTCGTGTTGCCACCGGCACTGCTCTAGCTCTTTACATGGAATCGGGTTTTACGATTAAAATCATAACTGAGAATCAAATCTCTCCCCGATCTTCAGCACCTACATTGGGTCTGTGTTGTTTTCCCACTAAACTCCTGAGGGCAACGTTTTTGTTCCACAGGAGGCAAATTATTTCATCAGGGTGATTTGCATGGGCAGGTATACATTTTGAAATGTTTAACAAGTATTTTATCAGATCAGATAAGAAGACGGTGAAGTTTTATCAGCTCAGCCTCTTTTGGTTCTGCCCTTAATTTGTACAGAAACAACAAATGAAATCTCTTCGCTGTAAGGAAGTCAGGGAGTCGTTACATGAACACATTACACACAAATGCTTTCACAGCTTGGAAAGAAGTGGGTTGTTGCTTAGTGATGGGAAGAGACGAGGGGGATTTTGAATGTGGTGAAAATATTACATCAGATACTGAACAAACTCGGGAGTTTGTATCAGAGGCACACGAGGGCTTTGGTTGAGATGTGTGTGTGTTCAGAGTCGGTGTTGATGTGGAGAAGAATTTAAACAAAACTAATGAGACCTTTTCTGCGACCACATTCACAGGAGACCTTTGTCTTTGCGTTGTCCTCTGTCTTCCGTGAGTGACAGCACAACGCACGTCATTGCATCACAGGTGGATGCTGGGTGAGCAGCAGAGCAGTGTGTGTCCTTGGTGCTGCCTGTCAGCAGCAACCTTAGCTGCCAGGCAGATCTAAGATGGCAGACCTGTGGGCAGGAGAGAGGTGTCCTCTGCACGGACACCAGGCTTAGGCTGTTGTGTCCAAGATATAATATGGTCTGGACGTGTCAATGTAGTGAAAATATTATTACCATAGTGCAGTGGTTCTCAAAGTGCAGAGCGGGGCCCAAATGGAGCTCAGAGGTATTGCAGAGAGGGTTCTTTTTTTTTCCATTTTTATTTTCATTTGTGCCAGAGGAAGCGTAGGGAATAGCAGTTTTATAGGAATTTAAGTGTCGAATTAAGGTGTTTTTAAATGAAGTTCAGTGAAGCAACAGTCAACAACGTATCTACAAATGATGTCGCTGGAGGATATTATGGGAATCACTGCCTTAGTTGGACATGAGGACGATGACTATGTTGTTGAATGCCATTACAAAAGACAATCACTGTAACTCAACACTGATTCTAATACATTTCTATTGTCTCTTTAGTCCCAGGGCAATGTAAGTGTAATATTCTGTCCATGAAATGACATGGCTTGAGCACATTAACATTGTTCTAATCAGCTGCACCAGGATAAAAAAGAAGGCCAATTGTTGACAACCATACAAAGCTCTCAGAATAGCCTCAGTTTTCACCACTTTCATTTTTCTCACATATTCTAGCAGCAGTTTTCTGCAAAACAAGCTGAAAGCAGGAGGGGCTGTTTTTTTCTGCTGTTGCAGGGAAAAGCCTGCCAAGTTACAGTACTTTCAAATAAGGCATGGCGGAGGCTCAGATGGCTGAGGTGTCCCTACCGAAAATAATGCAGCAGTGAAGATTTTTGTTTTGCCTCAGCTGCGGTCACTAACCTGTATAACAGGATGCTTTTAAAGAAATGTATATTTAATGTATTTATTGTATTTTTAAGTTTAGTAAATGAAATATCAACATAAACTCCTCCCAGCCAAGCTAAAATCCATGATGTCCATTAAAAAAAAAGGAAGGTGAATTCTGATCGGAGCTCGTTTTGCTGCATTTCTGTCTCTGATGTACACAACAAAGGCTGCCTGTCATCGATTGAAGTGCAGCCTCCGAGCCTTCACTCATGAATCTATACTAATAGCAGCTTGACCCGATGAAGTTCATTCTGACCTCTGCACAGCTGTAAATCAATCAGTCTTGGCAACCTTTGACCCTAACTTCTGTTACAAACTGCAAAGGTTGAAATAGATTGTTTTTCCCTAAAGAAGTTTTGGGTCTTTGATGTCCTTTTCTGCAGTCTCATCACCAATGAGATTCTTGCTTTCAGAAATATTCACTAACTAGACCAACGAGCATTCTTGGACAAATGTTTTTTCACTGAAGATTCACAAGATTGTTTTTACAAACAGAAGCAAACTTCTGTTTTGATGTCAAACACTCAGTCAATAGAAGAAAGGAAACTAGTTTCACTTGAAGAGGCTGTAGTTAAGTTAATCACTATTGTCATCAATGACTAATGAACTAGTTGTTTGGTCTGATGGAAATGACAGATTTAAAACACAATAAATCAGCGTGTCAGGAGACTTGAATCACACACACTGCTGTAGATTGATGATTAAAAAAACATCCTGCCGGTCTAGTTGCAGCAAATGTGCGGAATGTCACAGAACAGAGCCTTGAACCAAATGTTTCATCACACCTGACTCTTTATGTATAATGAGGTGTCATTCCTTGAAGAAGTCTCTGTGTGTGCAGTTATGTCTGTTCCACTGGCGGCGGCGGCACCCCCCCCTTTCATTTGCTGCAGTAAAAAAAAAAAAACCCCTCCTGCCCTCAGCTGCCATTCACTGCTCGGTGTCTTATCTGCTGCAGTCAGTGGGTCACATGTTGTACATTTCAGAGGCACCGCGCTCTGGTGACTGACAGAACCACAGCGGTCACAGTCGCCGTCACCACAGCGTGGCTATTTTTGTCAGATGCTTTTCAATAATTCAGTTAAGATTATGAAATTGAGGGAATAAGGAGATAAAACACACTTACTCCAATTCAATGGATCAGTCAGTTCAATAAGTGTTTTAATCGTCCGTCACTAATGCAAATGAATGGGCACCTTTAATTTATGGAGGATTTTGTCAACCTTTCACGGCTTAAGAGAATAAAAAAACCTGGCGTTTGTGCTGAAGATAAGGAGGTGCAATTATAAATTCTCAGTTAGAGCTCAGAGAGATGTGTCCCAGTTACACAGCAGCAGGTAAAAATGACTAAACTCTTACTTACATCACATTCAAGGTCAGACAAATTCCCTTTTTTTTAATTCTCTGTAGACAAGTCACAGTCATACATACACATAACGAAACATTCATTCATGAAATGCCTGATTGAAATGTAAACAGTTTTATATCTTTAAAACTAAACAAAACCTTTTCTCGTCTTTTTTTCCTACTAAACAAAACCATTTCTCTACTTTTTCCCCCCCGTATTCTTCAGTGTCTGCGGACGTTGGTGGGCCACACAGGGGGCGTGTGGTCTTCCCAGATGCGGGACAACATAATAATCAGCGGCTCCACAGATCGAACGCTCAAGGTCTGGAACGCAGAGACGGGAGAATGTATCCACACCCTCTACGGGCATACCTCAACTGTGCGCTGCATGCACCTACATGAGAAAAGGTAGGATGAAAGGTCAACTTCAGAATATCAGAGAAGCCTGTTGAAGTCTGTGTTACAATATAAACAAACGAAGAAAAGTGGAGGAAAACGTCCCACGTAAAGAATTTACCAGGCAAATAAAAGACAGTATTGAACTTAATCCCTTTCCTTTTACCATCTTCATGTTTAAGTCATCAACTGTTCAATGAACTCCTCTACTGTTTGATTTGAATCATAACAATGATCCTGGGCTGAGTCAACAACTGTGCTGCCCTAAAAGAGGACAGTACTGCTCTGAAAGTGAGCATGTGTGGGGGGACAGTAATTAAATGTAGCCTTAAAGGCGTCTTAAGTGAACGATGCTCTCTTATTCATTCAGTAATACTCTAAAAGTCAAAGTGCTCTTTTGGCCTCAGGGATCACCGAGGTTTGTTGTGTACTGTTTGATTAGTCACGCACTGGAAACACTGTGAACTGCCTGGAGACAGTGGAAAAACATGTTAGTCTCCATCCTCTTGTTGCCACGAGGCATTTTAAAGTATGTGGTGTGTGTGTGTGTGTCCTAACTTTTTTTCTTCTTCTAAATGTGTATGTTCATAAACCAGTAGAAAACCTCTCAAATTTGTACTTTGAAGCAATCAGATATGTGTAAATACGGTGTAAAAGGCTTCACTCGGTGAATACATTTAATGCTTTCTCTCCGGGGCTCATTACGTTTAAAAAATAAGGTTAGGAGCTAACGGTTATGATACCAGTAACCTAAAAAAAAAAAAAAGCAGCTCTAAAGCGTTTTACCCTGAAGGCAGTTTCTCTTATGATCACCTTTTACATTCTGGCTGCTCACTCTTCCGTTTGAGTCAGCGAGGAGTTTCTGTCGGATCAAGTGTGAACACGAACGTGACGCCGTCTGTTACCTGGTGGATGCGTGTTACTCATCGCGCCCGTCATAACTCTGTCAGTGAGCCGCAACGGCGTGATTGATGAGCAAAGATAAATGGATTTAATTGTAGTATAAAAATGCAATTAAACGCTCAATGGTGCGCTGCTGTAAACTGGCCCAACTGGAGTTCATGTTTACAGTTGGCCTGGAAAGTTCTGACAACACCCTCGCACAGTGAATATGCTGTGTGTGCCTTTAATCGTGCAGTATTTAAATAAAGCAGTATCAAATACAGACGGGTGACAGGAGCAGTGAGCTGCTCCCTGGGCAGACTGCCTTCTCTTCTGAGTAATGCTTTACATAACGTATCACTAAATAAGGAATAATTACCCACCACTTACTCCCTTTAATGGAAAAGAGGTGCTGTGTCAGGATTCTGTGACACATAAGCAATATGTGATGACAAATACCATTTCTGATTCCAAAAATTTAAAATATTCGCTGAAAGGCACGATGAGTAATGGCTGAAACCGATTTTGTCTAGACAGAAGTAAAAACAGAACTGAGCTGATGGATGCAGAACTTCAACTTCACCAGACCAGAATGAATGTTTTATTTTATTTTATAGAGATGTTTCTGTGAAGTTAGTTATAGTTAGTTGCCTACGTTGTTTGTGTTTAGAATGTAAAAGTCAAACCATCTGTTCCTACAAAAACAAAAGCAGGTGATCCTTTTGTTTGTACTGTGTCTTCTAGTTCTACAACTAAATACTACTACAATCTAAAAAAACAGGTTTGAAGAGACAGTAGTGAGACCTGCTATGATGTATGGTTTAGAAACTCACTAATAGACAAGAGGCAGAGATGGAGTCAGATCTGAAGGTGCTGAGAGTTTCACTGTCCACCACTGGCCCTCTGCCTTACCATCAGTTTGACTCACTTCCTGTACTTCCTGTTTCCATCAGGGTGGTCAGTGGCTCTCGTGATGCCACGCTGCGCGTCTGGGACATCGAGACGGGTCAGTGTTTACACGTCCTCATGGGCCACGTGGCCGCAGTGCGCTGCGTCCAGTACGACGGCCGGCGGGTGGTCAGCGGTGCCTACGACTTCATGGTGAAAGTGTGGGATCCTGAGACGGAGACCTGCCTCCACACACTGCAGGGCCACACCAACAGAGTGTATTCATTACAGGTGAGCAGTGAGTGAATCTCAATGTCTCTCATCCTTTTCAAAAATAAACAAGGAGTTTCTTTCTTCTTTATTTTAATTTACACAAAACTAGAATGTATGTTAAGGTAGCCCTCCCAGATGTCCTCTGTACCACTGTGTGATGAGAACGTACTGTAGCTGATGTCATCACCCCGTGGGAGCAGACTGTTTATGACGCTGCTAGATTGGTTTTTCTAAGAGGCTAAATCGTTTGGACGTAGGAACAAGAAACAACGATTTCACAAATCGATAACATTCATAATTCATTACAGCGAGTTTTATCTTCAGCCTGTTTAAGGAGCGCCAGCAGCAGTGAAGGCATCTGTGTTGACCTTAGAACATGTTTCTGTTTTTTTTTTTTAAATAGTTTGACGGGATACACGTAGTGAGCGGCTCATTGGACACGTCCATAAGGGTTTGGGACGTGGAGACGGGAAACTGCATCCACACGTTAACAGGACATCAGTCCCTCACCAGCGGCATGGAGCTCAAAGACAACATTCTGGTCTCAGGCAACGCAGACTCCACTGTTAAGATCTGGGACATCAAGACGGGCCAGTGTCTACAAACGCTGCAGGGTGAGTCCACGGTCCACACTGTCTGATACATTTCTTTTTTCAGGGGTGTTTGTTTACAATTATTGAACTGCTTTAGTTGGTCATTTAGGAATCAGAAAATGTGTTGTCTGCACTATAAGTAATTAGCAGTAGCCCTTAGCTGACCTGAGGTTGAGACCCCTTTTATTTTAGGGAGTTTATTATAGAGACTTTTGGTAGGATTAGAAACAACAGACTTTCCTGTCAATTTACCACTGACAGGAAGAGTTCGTCTGTGACCTGCTGTAACATTTTCACCACAGTAGATTCTTCATGAGGAGGAGAAAAGGTTATAATTGACCAGCTTTTTTATTGGAAATAATTCCAATAAAAATGTTTATAAAACAACACAATGTCTCTGAAGCACAAGCAGCCATTGGTGCCCCGCCCTTCAATGTCCTCATTAACCAACTCCAGTCCTGTGTGCCTGTCTACAAACACACATGCACACAGACACACACACACACACACACACACACACACACAACAAAGGGATTCCCCAGTGAGAGTTTGAGGACAGGGTGGGATTAGACCACAGGAGACGAATGTGTGTTTATGGATGTGAACGTGTGTGAGAGCTTTGTGAAAAGGGGGTTTAAAAACGAGGGTCTGGGAACTTTGTAGGTCATATAATTAGGGCAGTGGACGTTTTCTGCTGTCCATTTGTGTTTCGATGAGACAATGGGCCAATAACAAGGCGGTGTGTGTCAGCTGATGGCAGCAGAATGTCTGTAATGATGGCTGCTTTATTGTGGTAATGGGCAGAAGAAACGAGAAGGGAGGGAGGGGTTTAAAGGGTTGGTGCAGAGCAGTCTTTCAAAAAAATAAATAAATAAATGAAAGATGTGAAGGTTTGTTGAAATTGTGACCAAATGCGCCAATGAATCGTGAGCAAAGAATCAAAGTATCTGATTAAAGTGGCTGCTGAAAGAGCCTGTGTGAAAAGGGAAATGTGTTTGTGTCCCAACATTCAAATCTGAGCTTGTTTGCTCTTTGTGTTTCACTAATTGATTTAATTAAGATATGATGCTCATGCTCGCGGCAAGATCTCAATTTGCTGAAGGAACGGTGAAGAGTTCGCCATCTTCCCTCTGAACGTGGCACGCTGCCAGCAGACAGCGGTGTAGCCTCTGTGACAGTGACAGTGAACATCTCACTGCAGCTCATCCTAAAGCCTGTCTGCAGACTGGAGAAATGGCTGACTGCTCTGTCATTGTACATTCCGAAATGAAGATGAGCCCCCACCCCCCTCACCCCCCACTGTTTTTCCCATTCATCTCACAGGCTTACAAAGACTCTTTTCTCTGAAGCTGCATTACTCGGTTGCTCTACTCACATACTCTGGTTATTTGACACGACCAGGACGGAAACAGAGGACGGGGTCAGGGTTTTGCCCGTGCTTCTCCTGGATTGGAAGTTAATTTACTTTGCTGAGCACAAAACAAATTTGATAAAATAAATACCAACATAGAAATTAAAGCTACACAAAAAATTAGCAAATCAAAATGGAGGAATATTATATTTGTTTATTTAACCTTCAAAATGAAAAACACAAACCAAGAACCTCATCACTGTAGGATAGACGCAGAGTGCTCAGTGTACTGTGGGTGTTCCTCCAGCGGTCTAGGCCTGCTGCAGCTAAAATCGGGGAGGGTTTTAGCCTATCTAATCACCCCAAATAATACCTAGTAATAAAAAAAAGAGAGTTTTAAAATGTATATGTCTGCACTCTCACTGGGAGGTGATATTTTACGAGAGGAGGCTGAAGGATCCTATTTCAACCTCCTCGTATCTAGGACCTACTGAAAGGTTCATATATTTTGAAGGCATAGTTATTATCAAGTCCTAAAGATGTGATGGACTTAGTTAAAGCCAACTATAAAGGTTGCGAGCACGATATACAGACGGCGAAAGGACTAATTGGCAAATAAGAAAAAGTAAAGCACAGTTTGTAACATTGGAGGTTTTCCTCAGTTTGAGGGTTTTCCTTGTCTAGGATCCAGTTCTGTCTGCAGGCATTAACAGGATGAAGTGGTGAAGGACAAGTGAATGGGATCGTGGAGGAGGTCTTTGTTCAGAGTGAGGTGTCAGTAAACTGTAAAACCACGTAGAAAGTAAAGCAGAGATGAAACAGAGGGAGCCAGGATTACAGGGTCTAAATAAAGCAGCGGCTGCAGCTTCAAGTGTTGGCTGTTTTCACAGGACACTGTCTTTTTTCCCAGTCCCTGTGGTGAAGCAGAGGTGGGCAGTCAGGAAGTATGATTGAAAATGACTAAAGAGGGTGTAGAAAAGCAAGTACTCCACTGCAGTATTTTCCAAACCCCACTCTTCATTGTCATTAAGTGAAAGGCAAACTGTCATCCATATGCTGTTGATCAAAGGGACTTGATTGCACCATAAATCAGAAAACTTCCAGTGACCCAGAGGTGTGTGTGTGTGTGTGAGAGTTTCATCAGTGACATTCAGAGCTGCTGACGTTTCTTCTTCTTCTTTTTTTTTTTTTTAATATTGTCTAGGTTCTCAGAACCCTCTGGTCCAGGAGCAGAGATGTTTTATGGAGACTAAATTTAGACGTAAAACTAAAGATAGACTGTGCTTCCATCTGCTGAGCAGGAGCTGAGGTTCCTACCACGATAGTTCATCAAATTTGTCCTTTACTTTCACCATTTCCCTCCCTGGAGGTAGAACCTTGTAAAGACTGTTGGTAAAACATCAGTGTCAGTGTTCATCCTACAGTGTTTTTGATCGTCTGGTTCCAGTATTCACAGTCGGGAGGAACCCAGCCCATTATTAACCAACCAGTCCCCACCTGAAAGATCAACACTCATGGTTTGGGAATGGTTGATGCAGAGCCTCTGACTGAGGGGAGAAAGCTGATTTAAAGTATTTGTGTTGATTAAAAATATATTTAATGCCTTGTTTAAGACTGTTTTTTTTGGACAGGTTAAGACAAAGGTCAAGTCAAAATTCAGAGTTTTCAAAATGATCACAGAAAAAAGACCATAGTCCAGTGTTAACCCCTTTGATTCTAATCCTGTGTACCACCTGTTTTAACTCCAACTCTCCTTCCTTCTCCCACCCTCTGTCTTTCCTGTTCAGGTCCACACAAGCACCAGAGCGCTGTGACATGTCTCCAGTTCAACAAGAACTTCGTCATCACCAGCTCGGACGACGGCACGGTCAAACTGTGGGACCTGAAAACGGGCGAGTTCATCCGTAACCTGGTGACTCTGGAGAGCGGCGGCAGTGGAGGTGTGGTGTGGCGCATCCGAGCCTCCAACACCAAGCTGGTGTGCGCGGTGGGCAGCCGCAACGGCACGGAGGAGACCAAGCTGCTGGTGCTGGACTTTGATGTAGACATGAAGTGAGACGGGACGAGCTGGGGGAACGATGAAGAGAGCGACGCGCAGAGAGGAAGAAACGAAGATCGGGGTCGGGAGATGAGGCGCCTTAGAAACCAGAGAGGCAGAGAGAACTCTTCACCCAAAATGTTTAAAAATCCACCGTCACCACCATCACCAACAGTGGTCTGTTCTGCCCCTCCACGATTATCTGCCCCTTCCCTCACTTGGGTAAATGTTACTGACAAAGCCACAGACCCTCTCATGTGTTTAGCCCCTGTGTCACCACCGCCAGGTGAAGCTGTTAGGAACCAGGGCAGGAAATGGGCCGTCCACGTCATGATTAGTCTGGAGAGAGGAGGAAGAGGAGGAGGAGGAGCGACTGATGACTGAACTCTCCTGAAGTGACTCTCTGACCTCTGGGTCCAGAGTCGACCTCACACAGAGACTTGGATTTCGCTTCAAGCCTGACAGATTTTGACATGTACAGAGATATATTATTTTTAAAGCCCCACCCACACACAGGTCCCACTCCCCCCCTCACTAGTGTACACCATCTCTCTCAAACACACACAGACACACACACACACACACACACACACACACTCTTACACACACATCTACAAAGCAGGAGGTGGGAAACACAGACTGTATAGGAAAAGTCAGAGGAAGGTGGGAGATATTTAAAGGTGAATTTCTACAGTTGCACGTAAAGAGCTGCTTGACGTTCAGGAGAGGAGCTGGGGAGGGTTGGTTGATTCTCCTCACTTCATTTCCATTCGTGTTCTTCTCCACTTTGTCCCGTCCCGTCTTTGGTTTCCTACACAAACACAGCTGTGAATTTCAGTACCTTTTTGGTTTTATCAGTTCCTTTTGGGTTTCTGTTTTCTTTTTCTTCCCATTATTTTTCTTGTGTTGCCAACAGCAACAAATCCCAGTATTAAAACCTTGCCCAGTTTAGTTTTAGCTGTCGTTATTTCACAGGTGTTTTTTTTTTTTTTTTTTTTCCTGGTCTTCTTGTTCAGAGTTTTTTGTTCTTCCTCTCTGTTTTCTTCATACCTGGGTTTGGAGCAGCGTCTCCTGTCGGTGATAATGCTGTCCACAGTTTTTCAGCCTAGCTGGGTGGTTTCCTTCAATGCCAGTGCTGTGACGAGAAGTAAAGGTTCACGGCTCAAAGTGCTGTGGATTAACACCCCCACCCCGAAAGCCCCCGGCTCCTTCCCCCTTTACTGTTTTCCCCCAGTGGCCAAACTTTATTAATGCTGCTAGATGAAAGGAAAAGAGAGAGAGATGGAACTCTTTTACTTGCTGTGACGTTTTAGTCCCAGGAGAAATTCCAAATTGAACTCTATATGTTTGGACTTGAAACAAAACGTGAGAAAAACATCCAACATTTTTTTTGTTTTGTTTTTGTTTCTTTTTTTGCCACTGAAACTTGAGCCAAACGTGCCTCTGCGAGGCTGAGAGGAGGGAGGGTGTCCGACAGTTAGCGACACGACCGCCTGCAGAGAGGGAAAAGAGCAGGATGTACACTGTTGCTGTGCGTGTGCATGAGTGCGTGTGTAAAGCGTGTTAATGGGCAACTTGTAAACACATTCCTTGGGACAAAGCTCTTTCAGCCTGGTCTTTGGGGAAATGTTCAAATGCTGTGTGGACTGGTAGAGGAAAAGAAAACGAGCAGGAGTATTGACTTTGAACACACGAGCGTCTGCGATCGGTGTGTGATCGTCGTTGCATTCATTGATGTTCAGAGCAGCAGAGGAGAAGAGCAGCAGCAGCAGCGGCCCACAGTCTTAGTTTCACATGTGCCGCCGTTAGAGAACCCACCGCGGACGCAGCTCAGCGCTTCGTCGGTGGGAAAACGACAAAACACAAAAGGCAACAAGCGTGAACTGAAGTGAACTGTAGCCAAACAAAAACCGTCTCAATCTCCAAGAGTCACAACTCAAGCTGAACTGTGAAAGTGGTATAACACTGTATATTAAAAACCAAGAAAAAAAAGAAAACAATCTCGCTCTATCTCCTCTCGTTGTTTTCTCCCTCTGTTTTAATTTATGATCTGGTTTGAGAAATCAGATTTGTTGCAGGTGTTTTTATTTTTTCAGTTCTTGTAAACTGCCTGGCAAAAGAGAAAACGGACAGAAAAAAAAAACCTTAAAGGGATTGTGTATTTGTTTGATTCACTTAGAATTTTATTTTCTTATAACTTAAGTGCAATAAAATGTGGGTTTTCTTTTTTCATTTCAAACATATCAGTTGTCTGTTTTTGTTACCTGTGTGAAGGCATCTTATATGTTCAATAAAGCAAATTATTTGATTAAATACTGATAATATTTTATCAATTACCCAAACATTTTTAACTAAGCTAAACTTTATTGTACAGGTAATAATACCAATTTAAATAATTAGGCTGGGCGATATGGACTAAAGGTCATTTTCCGTTTTCTTTTTTTTCAATCAAAAATTGTTGGTGAAAAATGTAGATCACATCACAGTAAAA